ACCCATTGGAATGATATGGATTTCTGCACAAATTGGTCATAAAATGTGATCTGATCATCATCTTAGTCATCTAAGTCACAACAATAGACAATCACATTCTGCTTAAACTAATAACACACAAAGAATGAAATGTTGCCATGTTTTTATTGAACACACCATGTAAACATTCACAGTGCAGGTGGAAAAAGTATGTGAACCCTTGGATTTAATAACTGGTTGAACCTCCTTTGGCAGCAATAACTTCAACCAAACGTTTCCTGTAGTTGCAGATCAGACGTGCACAACGGTCAGGAGTAATTCTTGACCATTCCTCTTTACAGAACTGTTTCAGTTCAGCAATATTCTTGGGATGTCTGGTGTGAATCGCTTTCTTGAGGTCATGTCACAGCATCTCAATTGGGTTGAGGTCAGGACTCTGACTGGGCCACTTCAAAAGGCGTATTTTCTTCTGTTTAAGCCATTCTGTTGTTGATTTACTTCTATGCTTTGGTTCATTGTCCTGTTGCAACACCCATCTTCTGTTGAGCTTCAGACAGATGGCCTTAAGTTATCATGCAAAATGTCTTGATAAACTTGGGAATTCATTTTTCCTTCAATGATAGCAATCCGTCCAGGCCCTGACACAGCAAAGCAGCCCCAAACCATGATGCCCCCACCACCATACTTCACAGTTGGGATGAGGTTTTAATGTTGGCGTGCTGTGCCTTTTTTTCACCACACATAGTGTTGTGTGTTTCTTCCAAACAACTCAACTTTGGTTTAATCTGTCCACAGAATATTTTGCCAGTACTGCTGTGGAACATCCAGGTGCTCTTGTGCAAACTGTAAACGTGCAGCAATGTTTTGTTTGGACAGCAGTGGCTTCCTTTGTGGTATCCTCTCATGAAATCCATTCTTGTTTAGTGTTTTACGTATTGTAGATTCGCTAACAGGGATGTTAGCATTTGCCAGTGACTTTTTTAAGTCTTTAGCTGACACTCTAGGATTCTTCTTTACCTCACTGAGCAGTCTGTGCTGTGCTCTTGCAGTCATCTTTACGGGACGGCCACTCCTAGGGAGAGTAGCAGCAGTGCTGAACTTTCTCCATTTATAGACAATTTGTCTTACCGTGGACCGATGAACAGCAAGGAGATACTTTTATAACCCTTTCCAGCTTTATGCAAGTCAACATTTCTTAATCGTAGGTCTTCTGAGAGCTCTTTTGTGCGAGGCATCATTCACTTCAGGCAATGCTTCTTGTGAAAAGCAAACCCAGAACTGGTGTGTGTTTTTTATAGGGCAGGGCAGCTGTAACCAACACCTCCAATCTCATCTCATTGATTGGACTCCAGTTGGCTGACATCTCACTCCAATTAGCTCTTGGAGATATCATTAGTCTAGGGGTTCACATACTTCTTCCACCTGCACTATGAATGTTTACATGGTGTGTTCAATAAAAACATGGCAACATTTCATTCTTTGTGTGTTATTAGTTTAAGCAGACTGTGATTGTCTATTGTTGTGACTTAGATGATGATCAGATCACATTTTATGACCAATGTGTGCAGAAATCTATATCATTCCAAAGGGTTCACATTCTTTTTCTTGCAACAGTAACATTAAAACTGCTTCCAAAATGATAGTCGGTATGTGCTGTCATCCATTGCCCAATGTTCTCCCTTACCTATCCCCACCACTCTTCAGCATTTAAACCAAGTTCCACACAGTTAATTAACTGCTTGCCAACCAGAATTTGATTTTAGAGCTACACCCTGTGAAGCATTAGTTCAGCACATGGGTCTACTTCAAGGGTCGGTTTTTATGCCATTAGCATGATCAGTATGGATACAGGCAGAGCGTGCCGGGATGTGAAGTGATAAACCAGCTCCCTTTGTTATTCTACAGCCTACCAAGAAGGCACAGGAAAGAGTCTCAGCTATTGAAAAGCTCTCCTGTTTCTCCCCAAGTAAGCACCAGGGACATTACAGCTTCAACATATTCTCCTCAACCTTAGAGCCCACAAGGATATAAAAGGAAAGGTGTGTGTGTGTGTGTGTGTGTGTGTGTCTAGCCTAATGAGCGTTTTTCTATTTATGTATTTGACTGTGGGTGTATATGTATGTATGAGATAAGTTAGGTGAATGGTCATAAATCTGTGTATATGTAAGGTCATAAAATATAATGAGGGCACAAAGACTTTGGGCTTCCAAAAATCTGAATACATCACAAGAGGTGGAACATGAAGAGGAATTTAACACAGACATGTTGTCTGCTCTAAAAAGTGGTGTAAAATGTAGAAGAGGAGGAGTCACCAATGGAATGTGCATGTTGGTTCTGCTGGTTTCCATATTGATTGTCCCACTTTTACTACTATAGACCACGTTTTAGAACAGAACACTCTAATAAACGAGCCCCCTGAAGCTAGAGAAAGGAGAAAAGCTGTAGAAGTGTGGTGGGCAACCATTGGCACTTCAGATGTTGTGCACTACATCTCCCACAGTGCTCTTACTGCGAGCATGCTGAAAAAGCATCAGGGGAGATTTAGTCCACAACTTCTGGAGTTCCAGATGTTGTCTATCTGCTATAGAAGATAAAGAGAGTTATAAAGAGATGGTAGACCATAACAAGACAAGTGGGAAACGATATCGGAGTAACAAGAAAATTAAAAGAGAGACATACTAGCTGGATTGAGAGTGGAGAGTGTTGAAATAAGAAAGAGAGTTGAAGGACTCACTAAGCTGGGAAAAACAGGAGACACAAACTCGGAAGAGAGATATGGACATTAAACAGGGGTTGGATGGATATCATGAAGGCAATGACAGAGACATTAACACAGTTCAGTCTATATGTATTTCAATGCAAATTTCTGGTAATCTGTACACTTCATGCCCAGAGCTACATCTGTTACTTCTAACAGAATCTATTGTGAACATGTTTGACAAAATATCAATACCAGTGCAATCTCAGGGAGATGGACGCTTTTAGAATGGAAAATAAATGGATTTCATGGACATCACTCACCCCGAGGTCATACAATTTATTCCATACCTTAATCTATGTCTATCAGCATCCTAACAGCCTAAGTCTATTGTCCAGTGTGATATAGTCAGCCACAGAAGGGAGATGGCACCTTCCACACCTCAACTGCAGTGACATTCTTTTTAAGGGCTCACATGAAATCTGTACATTCTACAAACATAAATAAGTAAATATTCTTACATAGTTCTGCATTCACAAAAATTGTATCATTTACTCAGTTTGACTTAGCGAAGCCCCCCTCACCAGGATCTGAAAAAACTGATAATTTTTGCATATTTTTAAAACATTTTACTGGGGTCTGACCTGCACCTTTTGCAGAACTGCTACACACACAGATAGAATTGCTTCCAGACCTTCAGTGGCCCATCTGCATGAAATGCATGTTAAATGAGCCATAATTAAAGTTAATTTCTAATTAGCAGCCTGCCAGCTGCATGCTGTCTGCTAAAACTCACAAACCATTGTTATCTTATTTCTTCCAAAAATGCAGGTTTTCTTTTCCTCCTTTTGTGTAATAGTATTCAAGACAAACAAAAATAATGCATACCAGATTAATTTCTTATTTTCGATATACATAGTTTATAAATACAGGCTTTACTTTAATGTTAGTGTATACCAGCACCATATTTACATGGCTGGTTCATTGCAGGGCCTATATTATGCCTCTAGAGCTAAATTCTGTATAAACCATGATGACCAAAACAATCCTAAAATATGACAATTCTGACTTAAAAATCAGAGCTGGATCCATTCTGGCATATTAATGTGGATGCCGTCTTAGAACGATGGATAGAAGTGGTTCATGGATTACAGGGTAAAATTTACCAGGAAAGGTTAAAGGATCTTAACATGTATAGCTTGGAGGAAAGACGAGACCGGGGGGATATGATAGAAACATTTAAATACATAAAGGGAATCAACACAGTAAAGGAGGAGACTATATTTAAAATAAGGAAAACTACCACAACAAGAAGAGTAATGCTTTCCTATGGGTGGGTTTGAATGCGCACACGCCTCTGGCTGCGCAGGCGCATTTAGCTCCACTTGGAAGCTAGCTAACATCGGTGGAAGAGGAGAGGTCACCAGTGCCGAGGGAGCTCGGCGCTGGATTACGGTAAGCAAAAAAATGGTTAATTAACGGATTTATTCGCAGCAGAACAGGGCCATAGTCGCCTAAAGGAGGACTAGGGCTCTATAGTGTTAGGAATACATATTTTTATTCCTAACGCTATAGTGTTCCTTTAAGTCTGCTTTGCAGCAAATCCATCTACCAGAAAAATATTCAGTGGGCAATTATCTTGCTTTCATGTGCGAATCCTTATAAGCACTAACTAGGCAGCAGGTTTTATCATTAGTAAAAACAAAGAGAACGTTACCTGCGCTCTGGCCTAAATCCCCATGTACATTTAAACAAAATGGAGGCTCTTTAGTTTTATTCCAATGGCCATTTGAATATATAAGCTCACCTGCCATGTCAAGACAAGCCTCAATAGGGGAGTTCCTACACTAGCCATTAGATATGCTGATATCAGCCAAGAATCTCTAGTAAGACAGGAAGGGGTATTTTATAAACCCTTTCACATTTAACCCTTTACAGGGCTTCTACACTTACAATAAACTTTGCTGGTATCAGACAAAGTGTGAACATCATTAAAGAGACATGAAGAGGTGTTTTATAAACCCCTACATACTTTTCTTAACCCTGAATAGGGCTATAACATACAAATCACCTTGCTGGTATCAGCTAAAAGGCAAATTTCTCTGATGAGACAGGAAGGGGTGCTGCCCCTACATACTTATAAACTCTTAATAAGACAAACGTGGGGCGGCTGGCAGCAATGTAACATAGCTGTGAGATACAAAATTCATATACAAACACAAAGATAAAGCACCACGCTTACAGCAGCAGTAGCTTAGTATCCAACAGCTTAAAATACATAGTAAAAACAAAGAGAATGTTACCTGCGCTCTGGCCTAAATCCCCATGTACATTTAAACAAAATGGAGGCTCTTTAGTTTTATCCCATTGAAATAAAACTAAAGAGCCTCCATTTTGTTTAAATGTACCAGAGCGCGGGTAACGTTCTCTTTGTTTTTACTATGTATTTTAAGCTGTTGGATACTAAGCTACTGCTGCTGTAAGCGCGGTGCTTTATCTTTAGGTTTTGTCATTAGTTTCTAGCATAGGTTAAATAGCATTTGATAAATATTTATTGCATGCAAAAAAAGTCTTTAGCAATGGCAAACAGAATGGCAAACAACAAAAAACATCTTCTGCTTTTTTATCTCACATCACTCACAGTAGAATGAACTGTATATCGGCAGAAGTCCGTTATAACTCTTCCATTGATGGAGATGGTTCTTTAGATACAGCCTGATAGCCTGAGGGTGAGTTTCTGCTCATTTAGGTTGCCTCATGAAAGTTAAAGTAGTGTGAATCACTAATTACAGCTAAATTGGATGACAGAAAAAGGTTTTAGGCAGCCGTTGTCTCTCATGGCCAGCCACACCTCAGAAACTGTACATTTTCATACATGTCGTACCTCTCAAGTGTTGCTATTTAGAAGGAGAAATCCATTTTTTTAAGCCAAGTCCCTCTGTCCCTCTTTTTTATACCAATGTCCCTCTTTTTTAAGAGCTCAATGTGTCTGAAAGTATTACAGAGCTCCACAGCAATAATAAACCCAGTAATGTGTCTTTAAACTACAATAAATATGTTCAGAAATCAATCTGCGTAAATGAGATACATTGTTCTTGTTCTAAATGACATTTTAGTTGCATATATTGTTATTAGCAAGCCGCCTAAAACTTCTCAGAACAGCGCCAACGCTGGCCACAACCCCACTCACACAACTAAAATTAAAGTATTCCCCTGTCCATGTGTTAAATGTTAGGAGGTAAGTACATGCTTTGCTTGTTACATAAAGCTATTTGAAAGTTACATCCAGTCTGCCATCACACTAGCAAATTGGGGGAAAATTAAGTAATGGCATAAGCTGAAGGACAGCAGACATAGACATTGAGGTGTTAGGGCGCTCTTAATCCCTCTGTCTCTGTCTCCACCAAAAACTGTTTCTATTTTGTACATTCTCTTGGCAGAATTCAACACTAACTACTATGTAATCTGGACATAACAGAAAACCCAAAGAAGACACACCAAATCACGGCTAACGCCAGTTTCCATGAACCATTTCAAAACAGCTTATTTGTGTGTACTCCTCGCTCTGTAATTATACAGTAAATTGCCACCTTGTGATCTGACCAGCTGGATTTCAATGCTCATTTTTTTTTTCTTTGAAAGAATTTAATAATGCGGTTGTTCATTTGTTTAAAATGGCATCAATTGCTAGGACCAATATGGTTTTAAGCAATTGCAGCCTTCCAGCTGTTGTTCGGTTGTGTAAACCAAAATCTTAAAGGAGAACGGTCACTTGTCTGGAAATTAGACATGAAAGAGACATGTCAGATTAACTTTATGCTAGTTGTGGTACACAACCTGCAAGTCTTCATTTGTTGATAAACGACACATCCCAGTAACCTACGCTATGAACATGTCCCATTAGACTGCAAGTTATCACCTAGATCAGGGGTAGGCAACCTTCGGCACTCCAGATATTGTGGACTACATCCCCCACAATGCTCTTACTGTCATAATTCTGGCAAAGCATCAGGGGAGTTGTAGTCTACAACATCTGGAATGCCAAAGGTTGCCTATCCATGATCTAGATTGTAAGGTCATTATGCGCAGGATTCTCTCCACTTCTTGTTCCTATCCATATTAAATGATGTATTATTTATTAGCAATTTTATAACTCCTTGTAATATTGAAAAGTGTAGAGCAATATGATGGCTCTATGTAAATGATCATAATAATAATCAGTGCAGTATGGATTCATTTCATAACAAAGATCTAACAATAACATACATCCTGTCACATTGTATGCCTCAATAAAAGCTTTACAGCTCCATTATTCAAATGAAACATTTATATGGAATTTATTTATTGTTTTAAATCTGCAGCTCGCTGCAATTGAGCAGTGACAGAACTACAAAAATAACAGATTTTAAGAAAAAACTTAAAAACTTTTGAGCAAATGTTTACATATTATATTATTTTGGGACAAATATGTTACAACAAAATAGTCCTCACAGGGATAACTGGTTAATAACGTTTTAAAGAGTATTTTGACTTATGCTCTTTTGAAAGATATAAACATATTTTATCTCGACATTGTGCTAGAAGATTTGCTACCAAATATATACATTGGGAGATACAAATGTTTTATTGGTTGTTAACATAGGCATCTTGTAGTTTAGTAAAAAAACTGTTTGCATCTCTTAATCCTAAACTTGTTTTGCTGTCCACTAATTTAAGTTAACAAAGTAGCTCTTTGTTCACAAAGCCCTGGTTTTAGAACTGATTGGTATATGCAAATTTTAAAATCCTAAACGAAATACTTGATATATATTTATAAGACTGCTTTATCAGTAATAAAATTAATAGTTTTACCTTTCCTGGAACTTTTCTTGCTTCAGTGTTTCGCATATCCATGGATGGAGGTACTTGGTAAATGTCCTGTGGCTGGTTCATGGAAGGTGGGACTTGATAGATGTCTTGTCCTGTTCCAATGGATGGTGGAACTTGATAAACATCCTGAGGTTGAGAAGCATTGGAAGTTGCCACTGGGACTTGGTATAGCTCTGGTGGCTGGTTCATAGAAGGAGGAACCTGATAAATATCCTGGGCTTGGCTTGCGAACTGATGCTGAGAAGGTGGGGTTTGGTACAAGGTAGATTGTTTGGATGGAGTAACTTGACCTGGGTGCTGTGACCCCTGAGGAGTCTGATATAGTGTCCGTGGCCCTTTAGGTGGTGCAGGGATCAAATAAACATTATCGCCACTTTGACTCTGGTAAGCAGACTGCATAGGTGTATATTGGTTTGATGAAGACATCACGTTGTAGACACTCTGGTGAGGAAAAGGCAGTGGTGTCTGAGGCGACTGCTGCTGTTGAGACTGCTGAGATTTCTGTTGCCCCTGGTCACCACCACCCTGCTTCTTGTCATACATTCCCACAAGAATTTTAAGCCTGTTCCCTGGCACAATACCTTGCCTTCCATGCAGAGAGCATAGCCACCAACCATCTAGACCTTGAGTGTTCCTCTCCAGGACAGTCATGATATCCCCCTTCCGAAAAGACAACTCATCTGGCGACTCAGCCACATTGTCGTACAGGGCTTTTGCCAAAACATTCTGCAAGAGAGAAGTAAAGATACAGGCTGTGAACATTAATCTAATCAAATAATCAATATGTAAATGTTTAGGAAATTTGTGATAATGGTTAATGGACAATGAAAATGTGGTACAGGGATGTTTTATTTTTATTTATAATGTATTTATATATGAGATTTTTTTGATAGTTTAATATTTTGCGAATATTTCAAAACCTTATCCAAAAATATTAAATCAATGCTTCAGTCTTTAGAAACGTTTGCATGTATTTATGGTGTATTTTTTTTTATAAAGCAGGATTGTGGTGGCCACCCCGAGAGAAGAGGGGTTTCCACCACCAGAGATGTCCTTTCCCCTAGTCTGAGCAATGCTGAAGTTTTTCCCAAGTAGTAATCCCAAGCGGTAATCAAAGCAAGTATAGTGGTTCCCTCAATCACGAGACGAGGCTTTGTGTTGAGGGTAAGCAGGAACTGGTTTATTGATAGCCACAACTGGCCTTTTATGTCAATCCCCATGCAAGGGGCACTCCCCTCTGGACCTGACAGTAGACCACATTAAAAACATTCACACAACTACATTGGCTCTCAGGTCCAGGACACTCTCACATAAAACAAGGTCCCTCCCCTGTGTCTGGGAGATAATTGAGTCAAGCACTGTATCTCCAGACACAGAAAACATATATTTTTTTTTTTACAAAACCCCAAAAATACCTTCAAACATACAAAATCCCCACAAAAGTTAAATCCTCTGACAGCCCTGACCAACATATCCAGAAATCACCGAGATCAGTTCAGAGGTTCAGGAATTTCCTGGAAGTCATAATTTGACCGACCGCACACATGGTCCTATGCCCAAAATAGTTCCATAGAATCGTGGCTAAGTGCCGCTGGGGACTGACTGGGAACAGCAAAAGCTAGCGTTCGGTTCTATGCGCACGAATGGAAAGTGCCGAACCAGTGGAACCAGGGGGAATAAAATATGGGTCTTTACAGTTGCTGACCTGGCCCATAGTCGGTGGGCAGGAGGCCAGCTTCCACACTCCTCCAGGAGTCCGTGTCAAATGTCTGTGGAAAGCAGCGTTTGTCACAAGGATATTCATAATATAATAGATTATATATTGACATTTTGAAAAATGACTACTGTAGAGTAAATAATGTATTTTACCTTTTTCTGACACCATCAAAGGGAACTCTATAGGCATCCAGATCACTTCAGTTAATTGTCCCAGGTCCCTTAACCCTGCATTTGATAACATCTGGCTGACATCGGGAGAATCAGGTAAGTGACAGAAGTGGTTTTTAACCTGTTATAACCCATGGGGGAGCCACGAGGGATGGGGTCACTATAGGGAGCTATAATGCCAGGAAAGCGATTTTGTTTTCCAAGCACTATAGTTTTCCTTTAAATATGGTTTCAAACTGAGTTTTTGCCTTGTTTTCCATCGTAGAAAAATAAATCTGTGTATGATTGAACTTGATGGTATTTTTTTTTAAACTGGGATGACTATGTGACTATAGCAGCAATGAGTTGGCTGCTATTGATTAGATATATATAACCCTTTCAGTTATTACAGCTGACTTTGACATAAGGCAATAGTTAAAGTATATTAATATAAATGAGATTCCAAACTTTAGCTAATCTAAGCACATCATTGTAATAACTCACAATCTTCTATCAGAACTTTATTAGTATCATGTCTAAAGATAGACAACTATCATGTCTAAAGATATGCGTAATGCAAAATGGTTGTTTCCATTTATTGCACATATTTCAGCCATATGTATACAGTGGAGTTCTGGCACAAAGTTCTAAAGTACACTCATCAGGCAGAACATTCC